AATGATTCTAGTTCTAGGTCTTGTGTTAGTTCTAGTGATAATGCAGGTGTAAAATTAGAAGTAACACTAGACCTAGAACTAGAAAGTATTGGGTTTAGTGTTGCTTCAAGTTTAAGTTCAATAAAAATATGCAACATAGTGATATTTTATGGTAACTAGCGCTACTTACCACCTACCATCCATCTTAAGAGACGTACAACTAAACGAAATGTTTCTAGTTCTAAGTCTAGTGTTAGTTCTAATTTTACGCTAGCACTATCACTAGAACTAACACAAGACTTAGAACTAGAAACATTCGGGTTTAGCCGCACGTCTCTCAAGACGGCTAAACCCGAATGATTCTAGTTCTAGGNTTTACGAATTTTTAAAGATATACAAAAAAAGTATTTACTTTGTAAAATTATAAAAATTGAGGTCGAATTCAAAAGTTATTATCTCAAAAACGGATAGATATTTTCAAAAGCGGATTTGACTATTAAAAAATGGATACTTTCCTTTATAAATCACGAGAATCTGGTTAAGATATCTTAACATATCGATTTTATACGAATTTTTAAAGACATACAAAATATTATTTATTTTGTAAAATTATAAAAATTGAGGTCGAATTCAAAAGTTAGTATCTCAAAAACGAATAGATATTTTCAAAAGCGGTTTTGATCATGAAAAAATGCATACTTTCCTTTATAAATAACGAGAATTTGATTAAGATATCTTAAAATATCGATTTTTTACAAATTTTTAAAAAAATACAACAAAATTATTTACTTTGTAAAATTATAAAAATTGAGGTCGAATTCAAAAATGATTATCTCAAAAACGAACAGATACTTTCAAACACGGTTTGACCATGAAAAAATGCATACTTTCTTTTATAAATCACGAGAATTTGATTAAGATACCGTAAGATATCCATTTTTTACGAATTTTTAAAGATATACGAAAAAATTATTTACTTTGTAAAATTATAAAAATTGAGGTCGAATTCAAAAGTTATTATCTCAAAAAAGAAGAGATATTTTCAAAAGCGGTTTTGACCATGAAAAAGTGCATATTTTCTTTTACAGATCATGAGAATTTGATTAGGATATCGATTTTTTATGAATTTTTAAAGATATACGAAAAAACTATTTACTTTGTAAAATTACAAAAATTGAGGTCGAATTCAAAAGTTATTATCTCAAAAACGAACAGATATTTTCAAATGCGGTTTTGACCATGAAAAAATTTATACTTTCTTTTATAAATCAGGAGAAATTTGATTAACATATTGATTTTTTTATGAATTTTTAAAGATATACGAAAAAATTATTTACTTTGTAGAATTATGAAAATTGAGGTCGAATTCAAAAGTTATTATCTCAAAAACGAATAGATACTTTCAAATACGGTTTTGACCATGAAAAAATGCATACTTTCCTTTATAAATTACGCGAATTTGATTAAGATATCTTAAGATATCAATTTTTTACGAATTTTTAAAGATATATGAAAAAATTATTTACTTTGTAAAATTATAAAAATTGATGTCGAATTCAAAAGTTATTATCTCAAAAAAGAAGAGATATTTTCAAAAGCGGTTTTGACCATGAGAAAGTGCATATTTTCTTTTACAGATCATGAGAATTTGATTAGGATATCGATTTTTTATGAATTTTTAAAGATATACGAAAAAACTATTTACTTTGTAAAATTACAAAAATTGAGGTCGAATTCAAAAGTTATTATCTCAAAAACGAACAGATATTTTCAAATGCGGTTTTGACCATGAAAAAATGCATACTTTCCTTTATAAATTACGCGAATTTGATTAGGATATCGATTTTTTATGAATTTTTAAAGATATACGAAAAAACTATTTACTTTGTAAAATTATAAAAATTGAGGTCGAATTCAAAAGTTATTATCTCAAAAAAGAAGAGATATTTTCAAAAGCGGTTTTGACCATGAAAAAGTGCATATTTTCTTTTACAGATCATGAGAATTTGATTAGGATATCGATTTTTTATGAATTTTTAAAGATATAGGAAAAAACTATTTACTTTGTAAAATTACAAAAATTGAGGTCGAATTCAAAAGTTATTATCACAAAAACGAACAGATATTTTCAAATGCGGTTTTGACCATGAAAAAATGCATACTTTCCTTTATAAATTACGCGAATTTGATTAAGATATCTTAAGATATCAATTTTTTACGAATTTTTAAAGATATATGAAAAAATTATTTACTTTGTAAAATTATAAAAATTGAGGTCGAATTCAAAAGTTATTATCTCAAAAAAGAAGAGATATTTTCAAAAGCGGTTTTGACCATGAAAAAGTGCATACTTTCTTTTACAGATCATGAGAATTTGATTAAGATATCGATTTTTTATGAATTTTTAAAGATATACGAAAAAACTATTTACTTTGTAAAATTACAAAAATTGAGGTCGAATTCAAAAGTTATTATCTCAAAAACGAACAGATATTTGCAAATGTGGTTTTGACCATGAAAAAATTTATACTTTCTTTTATAAATCAGGAGAATTTTATTAACATATTGATTTCTTTACGAATTTTTAAAGATATACGAAAAGATTATTTACTTTGTAAAATTGTAAAAATTGAGGTCGAATTCTAAAATTATTATCTCAAAAACAAATAGATATTTGCAAATGTGGTTTTGACCATGAAAAAATGTATACTTTCCTTCATAAATCACGATAATTTGATTAAGAATCGATTTTTTACGAATTTTTAAATGTGTGCACAAAAAAATTATTTACTTTGTTAAATTATAAAAAGTCGCGGTGCAAGGTTGGTTGGTCCGCCTACCCGATATGTATTCTATGTAATGTAATGTAATGTAATCACTAGAACTAACGCAAGACTTACAACTAGGCCGTCTTGGCTAAACCCGAATGTTTCCAGTTGTAAGTCTTGTGTTAGTTCTAGTGATAGTGTTGTGTAAAACTAGAACTAACACTAGACTGAGAACTAGAAATATTCGGATTTACCAGTACGTCTTTCAAGACTGCTAAACCCGAACGATTTTAGTTCTAGGTCTTGTGTTAGTTCTAGTGATAGTGCTAGTGCAAAACTAGAACTAACACTAGACCAAGAACTAGAAACATTTGGATTTAGCCGCAAGTCTCTCGAGATAGCTAAACTAACATTAGACAAGAAATATTTAAACGTGTCGCATTTTATGTGGAACAAAGTAAGCAGGTACGCGCTTTCTATGGAAATATATTTTTCTATATTGCATTTTAAGTGAAATTCACTGTATAAAACTAACTTTTACGATATCATTATAGATGGCGTTTGAAATTTGGGTTTTTATTGTGACGCGTGAGCGTGAATTTTTAACGTCGCTTCGTTTTCGACTTACGAATTTACAATTTAAAACCGACCGAGGGGCTCATTATCTCCGGGGGCAAAGCTTATGGTGGGGGCGCATGTCGCCACAGTTCGAGAGTACGACTCTCTAAGTGGTCCGGCAATTTATTTTAATAAGCCCCTTAATGGTCCCGGTCGTTATTTTTACAGGGTTTTGTTCCGTGAAAAAAAACGTCATTCAAAAACCAAACTAGATAACAAAAGAGAGATTATTAGGAAAATCTTTTTAATATTTCCTTAAAAAACATTAAAGGAAAACGGCGATTTTCCCCCTCATGCATTCGATAGCACAAAAACTTAAGTGGGTTAACCTCAACTTTCCAGCATTTTTATAATGAAAATTAACTTATAAAAGTGCACTCAAGTTTTATATAATCTTAACACATGATCATAATTTTAATTTTATTTTTTCTTGGAGGAAATATTAAAGTGAAATGATTATATATCATTTCAAAGAGGATACTTTTACCTTTAAGTTGATACCGAACTCATCGTTCCAGATTAAAACGTAATCCCAATGCGATATTTTAAAGTTGATGATTTTTTAATATATTGCCGTATGAATTTCGCAAAAACATTTTTGAAAGGAAAATCGAAATGAAATTACGGATTGATATATAGCATATTAAAGAGGATACTTTTAGCTTTAATTTGATGTAAGTATCATTTCTTCAAATTAAAAATTAAGCCCAGTGCAATATTTTAAAATTAAAATGTCATTATTTTCTTTAGTTAAACTTTAAAATATCGTATCTCCGGAACGAATCGAGATATAACGACGAAATAAAGGGCGTTTTAAAGCAAATTTAATATGCTATAAATAATTTCTTATTTTGCATAAACAACGTTGTTATGATTTTTTAAATACAACTCTACAATTTTAATCATTACAAATTTCATATTTATAAAACTAGAAATTAAGAAATGATATCTCAACAACAAATTGAGATATCATGATGAAATAAAAAACATTTTAAAGCAAATTTAATAGAGATTCTTTTTATTTCTAATTAAAATTTTTTTCCAAAATAATATTTAGATGGCGCTTTAGTAAAAAAGAGTTTGATCATTAACAAAAATATTTTCATCGACGAATATATTAATTTGAAAATCCATTTCAATTAATACTTTAATCCAAAAATACGAAGCTTATTTCGGTGGGGTTAATTAATTAATTAATTAAATCATGGGTTGAAATTATATTGAAACAGAGAAATTTAATTAGAGATTTTAATAAATCAATAAGCGATGAGGGTGAATTGATTAATTAATCTTATGATAATATAAAAAAAAAACTACACATTTAAAAAAAATATTAATAAGATTAAAAAATCAATAAAAAGCTTACCCACAAAATTGAAATATTAAATATAACCGGCTCCTCCACCAAAGAAATTAAAACTTAAAACTGAAAATTTTTACGAAATTTCTTTGCCGCCACAGAAATCGAAGAAACGCATCCCTTCACTGCCACCCCAACACTAAAACGTTGTAGATTCGAGTTTGCCACGTGCTAACACGTGGACTTGCGCAATGTGGCGCTTTCGGGTGGGAAACGTAACAAATCTATATGAAATCAAAACATTACCCGTATCCACCCACATCAAAGTCTTTGTCAACGTTAAACTTCAATTAAAAAAATCAATTCATCAAATTCTAATTCATGCTTTTATCGTTTCTGTTATTTATTTTAATAATTTTTTGTGATATCGAAACTAAAAAAGTTGCTAGAAGACACGTTCCTAATTGCGTTGAACCATTAGAACCCGAAGAAGTTTATAACTTAGAAGGATGGATCGGGCAATTACACTTACAACAATGTACCTTTGTGGCTATGGGGGAGAATTTTTTCGGTGTACACTTTAAAATTAATCTTCCAAATTAAAATTTTTTCATTAAATTTAATTTTTAGATATTTTTAGAAAAATTTCCAAGAGTCTACGATGAAAACCAAGAAATAAAAGAATACTTTTTAGGAATTTGCGATTATAAAACATTAAAAAAATGGAATTTATGCCCGTTGGCTTTAGAAGCGAAGCGAAAAGAAGATTGTGCTTTTCACGAGGATAGTCAAGAATCGCCGAGGGTTCATCGGAGATTATGCGAATTATCTGATATCACACAATTTGGCGAACACTGTAATTGCGATTCGACGCTTCGTGGGGATCCACTTTTGCAAGTTGTTGGTTTTCCGACTTGTTTTCGTTCCGAAATTACGGAAACCGTTTGTGGTTACAACAACGTTTGCGGATTAAACACGTGTACGATGAATATGGTTTCTAATAGGGTTTATATGGTTAAATGCGATGAGAATTGTTTTGGACATAAACCGGTAATAAAAAAAATGGTAATTTCAGTTTTTTTTCTATTAATTTTTTCGTAGTTTTGTGAAGATCCCGAATGGGAAACTGGTAATGTAAGGGAAATTAATTCATTTTGGACTGATTGGAGTGAAGCTAAATGTGCTGATAGTGATTGTATGGCTCAATATAATGAAGCTAATTGTATCAATAAGGACACGTAAGAAATTTAATAGTAACAATTTTTGTCACATTGTTTTAAAACGTACACTTTCCTGAATTAAACGAGTACCGCAACATAATTGATTAGCTAACAAGAATTGGTGATCCTGAAATTAATGATGCTGTTCAAATTCTTTATTACCACATTAACGCTATACACGAATTCGTTCCCTTAAAAGGTAACGTTACTGAGGGGGTTCCTTCTTAGTTTTCACGTCATACCATCAAAGTGATTCCAGACAAAAGGAATGCGCACCGTAAATGGAAACGATTTGATAACCGACTTGACTACCTCATTTATATATTTTATTGTTCACGATTTTAGGAAGCATAGGGAAAGGAGGTAATTATCGACCACTTAAGCATCAACAGTTACAATGAATTTCCCTTTACAGTGACAAAGATAAACTCTTGCAGGTTATCTAATATCTAATAAATATATAACTGCATTAAGCTATTTTGTGTTAGAGGAAAAAAATCGACCACGTGGATATTTAAGAGACAAGATATTTATTAAAGACGAATGTAAAGAACATTTTTTATTTTGAAAAAAAGAAACTGAAAACATTTAACATTTGTTGCAAATATAGTCTTGCGCCTTCTCAATGTCGGTACAATCAGCGTGAACCCAATCCCCACATGAGCGACATCTCCACCATAATTCATTGTTTCTTCCAAAATCATGACTACGGGTTTCATCTTCATTGGAAATATTCTTTTGTTGACCTAGACACCGCTTAACTCTCTTCGTGAGCTTTTTCTTCATTTTCCTTCTTTTCCAGTTCTTCTTTAATTGGTGTTGAAGTCAGAATAACTGAATGTTTCATTCTACTAGTGTTACTTCTAGTTTTCACTGTCGGGAATGGTAAAAGATCTATAAAACTTGCAATCTCTTTCTTGGCTTGCACACTCGTCAGCCATCTTCTAAAACTCCTTCTAAATCTAAATCTGAGGAAGATTCTGATTCTGTCAACTTTCAAAGGCGTTTAGGTTTAGAAAGATACTCTTGTGAATTTAGTTTAGAAGTGGTTCAGAAATAGGAGAAAATGTTTTGTCCAAATTTTTGTCTGGCTGAGCATTATTATTGCTTTGTGTGTCAATAGATCAACGAAGATCTTTATAATAATACTAGAAGAGAATATAGTTCGGCGGTCATGACTGAAAAACAAAAACATGTTGTCGAAGTCATCAATACTGCGACCAATAAACAAAAAGTTATGTGTCAGTTGATAAACAAAGAGATAAAAGGAAATAAAAAAAACAACAGTAATTACTTTTCCAATTTGGATGCTCAGAATTTCAATAGTTATTTCCCCAGGATTGCAGTAAATACAGTCGAAACTATCCCTGGTCCTAATCTAAATCCCAGTGTATTTGTCTCCAGAATATTGAACGGAAGTCGACAGTCCTCGTTCTTCTTAAAGCCTACTACTGAACATGAGATTCTCCACACGGTCCTTTCCCTACCAAATAAGAAAACCCCTGACATATACAATGTCTCAACCTACATTGTTAAGAATGTTATTGACGTGTTAGCTATACCCATTACACATATGGTGAATTGTTGCTTTACAAACGGCATATTTCCTGAAAAACTTAAAGTGGCCAAAGTGGTCCCTGTTTTCAAATCGAATAGTCCAGATGATTATAAAAACTATAGACCTATTTCTATACTTCCTGTTTTTTCAAAAATCTTCGAATCTATTAACAAGCAGATTTATTGAGTACATGGAAAATAACAAATTATTTAATGAAGCTCAGCACGGTTACCGAGGACAAAAGTATACCACTTCAGCTCTAACTTGCTTGGTTGATGCTGTGGTACGTGCGTTTGACGAGAAGGAGGATGTTCAATTATTATGTTGTGACTTGTCAAAGGCGTTTGATTGCGTCCAACATAAAATTCTGTTGAATAAACTGGAACCTTATGGTATAAGAGGTCTACCAAATCAAATGATTCGTAGTATCTTAACAATAGAATGCAGTGTGTAGAGTGGAAACCCAATTCTGGGCCCAATGTTCTTTATTATTTACATAAATGATCTTCCTATTAACATCTCAGCTGATGGCATTTATATATATGCTGATGGTACATCTTTTGTGCTACCGTCGAAAGATAGAGTTGAACTTGAAAATAAGTCAGAAGTTGTTATAGCCGAAGCTGCGGAATGGTTTGGGGCCAACAGTTTGAAACTTACTGTTGAAAAGACGCAGAAACTACTATAAACAATTAAAATTGAGGGACGGGAGCAAGAACCTATTAAATTCCTGGGGATATATGCTATGTCAAACCTAAGCTGGAAATTTCATGTCAAATATCTTCAAAGATGCCTGGCTGTAGCAATATTTACGGTATGGAATATAATAATCAGTATGGAATACTGATTTGGGGGAATTCTCAAAAATTTGGGGGGACAAAGATATTTTCATGCAACAAAAGAAAGCATTATGGGTTTTAGCAGGTGAAAATAGTACTGCTTGCCGCAAACCACTTTTCAACAACATAATATACTTACCTTATCCTCTATCTTTATCCTAAGCAGTCTTCTCTACGTGCATTCCTCTAAAACCTCATTTCTAAAAAGTTCTGATATTCATATTTACGAAACCCGTTAAATCACATTAACAGACTCCCTATCATCGTATAAATACCTCACAAACCAGCACTAATCACCTAGCCGTGAAATTATATAATAAATGCCCTTTACCAATCAAAAATATTATAGGTGTGAATTTTTCCAAAAAAAAACCACTGTTTGAGAACGATGAAAGATATTTATTTAATTATTAAATCGGTGCTACGCTACGTTTCGACCAATAAGTTGGTGTTCTTCAGGCACGTCTAAAAAGGTTTTATAGGTTCAATACAAATAATTAAGACAAAATTATATATTGAATATTTACCGTCTTAGGATGTAGCAAATGGAGGATTTGATCTATATAAATTTAACATCGTAAAGGCAATGGAGATAATTCGTTATTTAGACGTACATAATTTTAAGTTAGAGTTTAAAGATTTACATGAGGGTCGAATTCTAAAATGCATATAAAAAAACATATAAAAAACAATTTCGAAAAAACAACATCGGCCGTATACAAACACCTTTCAGATAATAATCACAAAACCAACATCGACCAGATGCAAATGATTAAGAAAATTAATAAATCTAAAACACTGGACATATTAGAAGAGTTCTACATACATAAAAACTACCTTAACAATAAAGAACTTTTAATTAACGAAAACATCGAATTTAATAATCAGCGATATTTTTTGAAACTTTTGTAATACCAGTTTTTGGAAATCCTTACGACTGCGCATTAACATAACTTTATTGTCGCTATTAAGTTTAGTCACACATCGAACACGTTACAGTGAAGTCAAAAAGAATTTCAAGACCTGTTCTGCAAATTGTATTCCGATCGTCATCTTGCAAAATACTGATTTTCAAGCATTAATAATTAATAAACACACATTGACATATATATACATAGTTAAAAAAAAGATGAGCCGACCTTATGTTTTAATGTACAAAACGTCAACGTTTTTTTCCGAAATTGTTTTTTATATGTTTTTTTATATGCATTTTAGAATTCGACCCTCATGTAAATCTTTAAACTCTAACTTAAAATTATGTACGTCTAAATAACGAATTATCTCCATTGCCTTTACGATGTTAAATTTATATAGATCAAATCCTCCATTTGCTACATCCTAAGACGGTAAATATTCAATATATAATTTTGTCTTAATTATTTGTATTGAACCTATAAAACCTTTTTAGACGTGCCTGAAGAAGACCAACTTATTGGTCGAAACGTAGCGTAGTACCGATTTAATAATTAAATAAATATCTTTCATCGTTCTCAAACAGTGTTTTTTTTTTTGGAAAAATTCACACCTATAATTATACATATACGATGAACATTAGCTAAATTAATCAAAAATATGACTAATTGTCGCTTCGAAAAAGTTGTACGGCGTATCCTGATGGCTGGTGCTTTCTATAATGTGGAGGAGTTTCTTCAACTACCACCTTCGGAGATGGAGTCTTATGTTTAGTTTTGAAAATTATATCTGGTTCTGTATATATTTTTATTTTTTTCTTTTTTTTGCTCTTGACAGTGCTTTATCTGTTGTATACTTTCTTTTATTACTTGTAAAACTTTGGAAACCTCAATAAATGTTATTATTATTATTAAGGATGTGTCGTACAAGATGGAATTTCTATGGCTGGGATATCAGTAAATTCATCATCACTAAATACAAAAAAATTAAGTCACTTGGAAAGCCTTTACTCTTTTCTCCACCCTTGCTACTTTATTATAAGCATTCCTGAATAATACTGCGATGTCGGGTTGTAAAATTTTTTCGTGTTGCTTTGCTTTTATATACCTCTCACATTCTTGTTCATAGGCAATCTTTAGTAGTCCAAAAAAACAAACGTCTAGAGGCTGAAGTTTGTGTGATGTGTGGGGCGGAATTGAAACAACCTTAAAGCAGTTGTCCTTGTAGAAAATGTATGTACCTAAGTTAGAATGAGTAGAATGATTGTATAAAACTAATAAAATTGGATCTTCTTTGATAGGTTTTGTGAACTTAGCAGAACGCTTGATCCATTTAGTGAAAAGACATTTCGTGATCCATCCAGATTTAGAACATCAGTATATAGCGCGTTGCTCCATTTCTTTTCTAGCACTTCTTTCATTGTGGAAATGTAGAAGCTAGAAGCGCTCATTGCGGTAACGACAGTCACTAAGAGACCTCTTTCCCCACTTGTAACTACGCCTACTTGCTTCTGCCCTTTATGGGCAATAATGCTGCTAGGCTTAATGCTCATCAACATTAAAAATACGATAAGCTTCAAATTTATGTTGGCTGTACAGTTTTTCCAAATTGTCGTAAAAAATAGTCACCTCTTTTTTGTTGAAAGCTAAGATACGGTTTAGACTGGTAGCCTCTGGTTTACGAAAGGTTAAAGTTGGATTCCGTTGCATGAAGGAATCCTTTATTTGAGCTTATTTGCCTGTGCAAACTTGTAGGCGAGTTCCCGGATTGATTTAGCAGTTAGTCCATAAAATACTTTAGAAAGATTAATAATATGGGTTGCTAGCTCTGATTCTTGCTCTACACTAAAAACGGGTTTTCTTCCTAGCTTGTAATTTTTTACAGAAAAACGATCCTGCAAGTATAATTTAGGAGTAGTAACGGTCGTTACTGTTAGGAACTAAAGTAATTTATTGGGATACACGACCAACACGACAAGGTCAGAAAGATCGTTTAAATCAGAATATATATCGAAGTCTTTAGACTTATTTAATGATCAGTCCACTTATTGTGTTTTGGATAGGGACCCTACTTCAAAGATACAAAACAAAAACAATAAATTTTCAAAAATTTTATTAGAAAAGGAATACATTGATAAGAGATTGTATAACAGCCTTAGATGTCACAAGATGAACTGTCCCTTGAGTCCTATTATATCGTTTGTGGGTTCCCCCACATATCACTTGTCAGAGTTCCTGTCAGGTATTCTGAAACTTTCTTTTAGTGAGAGAACTTCCTACAATATCAAGGATACTTTCTCTTTTGTAGAGAAAATTAGGGATATAAAACTCCCTCCTAACTTTATGCTTATCTCACTTGATGTGGTGTCTCTCTTCACCAACATACCCCTCAACGTGGTGAGAGATATATTGTTACAAAATTGGGACCTAGTAAGTTCTGTCACTCCCATTGATATGGATTTGTTTTTACAATTGATAGTGTTCCTTTTCGAGTCTTCGGTATTTACTTTCAATGATGTTATTTACAGTCAAAAATTTGGCACTCCAATGGGATCCCATCTTGGCCACAATGGTGATGGATCATCTTCTCGATCAATGTATTCCTTTGTTGGGTTGAAACTGAATCTAACTCTAGTGTTCCTTTTCTCGATACTATTGTTATAAGAAATTTAGATCAAACTATTAGTTTAAATTGGTATACTAAGCCAACATATTCGGGGAGATATATTAACTTTCATTCAAACCATCCTCTCAATCAGAAACTGAACACTGTGGTTGCTATGGTTAATCGTGTCAGATCCATCTCTGATGTCCGCTTTCTTGACTCTAACCTAAAAAAGCTCCGGGATATATTCGTCAACAACGGGTATCCGATAGGTCTAGTTAATAGAATTCTTTATCATAATGGTACTTACCATAATATTACCATCGTAATATTAGTCAACCTTCTGAAGGTGACGACCAACACGACATATCTAGCCTCCCTGGCCCCCGGACCCACTTTGTTAAGATTCCCTTCGTCCCCAGGTTGACTGATAAACTTGTTTCAGTTCTGAGGTTTGACACGGTTTGGTTTGCTAAATGTAACTCTTTGCCTTTATCCACCTGTTTTTCAAGGACTAAGGATCTGGTTCCTAAAGGTTTACAATCTAATGTTATTTATAAGATTCCTTGCAATAATTGCGAAAAAACCTACATAGGCACTACCAGTCAGTATTTTGATGCTAGGATCAAGCAACATAAACGTGATTGTCAATCTAGAGATGAAAACAAGAGTGCGTTGGTTCATCACCATGTCCTCAGTGGTCACCATTTTAATTTTGAGAATTCTCAGATTGTTGATAAGGAATCAATTTATTCAAATAGATTGTTCCTAGAGATGTTTTACATCAATAAAGAGGTTAATTCCTTAAACTTCAGAACTGACACCCAGAACCTTAGTTCTATTTACAGTTACCTTGTTATAAAGGTAGAAGGGATCAAACATCGATGGAGAGTGATTCTCTGGTTTTCTAGTTTTTTTTTTCGGTTTTTTGTTTCCTTTTTCATATTTTCAATTTTATTCCCCCTCTCAACGCCACCTAGTGGTTATTTTTAGTGTATTTGGTGTTTTGCCGTGACGACGGTTGGTCAGCCTTGTTTCTTTCCAGTTTTTGTGGTATAAAAAACTTACGTGACTTATTGCGTCTTAACTTTTAACGTAAAATTTTAACGTGTTCTTATTGTAAGTAATACTTATTTTAATAGTTTCATAATTAACTTTGTAATGATTTTTAGTATTGTTTGATCTTTAATTACTCACCTTTAGTGAATTATGAGAAGTATAGTTTTAATAAGAGATGTCTAGTGCTCAAAGTTTGCGACCTCATGTTTAGCTTTGGTTCAGTTCCTTTATGCAATCCATTTTTGTAAGTTGTTCATATGCTTTTTTGTTAACTATTGTAACTTTTGTTGTCTCAATTTTGTAATTACCTCTGAAGAAGGAAAAATAAAATTTCCGAAAGCTCGGTAAAGATAAAAGAAAGCCTCTTTTCAATTATCTAACCCTTGTCGTGTTGGTCGTGTATCCCAATAAATTACTTTAGATCCTGCAAGGTTCCGTAAGGCACATCAAACATTTGCGCAGATTTTCGAGATGATAAGGTTTTGCGTTGCATGTTCTTTTCCGAACATGCAGAACCTGTGCTTTTCCGAATATGTTTTAAACTTGGCATCTGAAGAAAGGGAATGCCATTAGTATAATAGGGAAATATCGACCACTCTGGTCGATATTAACCTACTGGCGGTTCAAACACATTTTGTTCACTAGCACAGAATTATGTTAGGAAATAATTTAGTTAGGTTATTTGACGGCGGTTGATATTCGCCTTCTTTCCCCTATTTATATGTATTAATTTTTTTAGGGGGTTAGGTGATGTAGATTGTTTAGGCCCGGGTTCAAGTTGTTGCGCAGGTGATTTAGTTGATTGTAAGTGCCACGTTTTTAACGAAGAAGGGATGTCTAAAGTAATCCGAACATTTACGGTTCCCTTAGAACAAGAATACGGTATCACTTTTAATATTTAATTAATTTCTTTAACTAAATCTCCTTTATTTTTAGATGAATTATCTTTAGATGAGATAATAAAAAATCTCCCCGTTAAAAACGAACACCGGCAATACAAATCCAAAGAAAAATCTAAAACCAAACAAAAAGTATCTCGTCGCGAGTCTCTTTCGTTTCCTCTTACCTACGACGATTCGTATCAACATGCCTATAATATTAAGTTGATTAAAGACGATATTCACGCGAAAGTTAAAAATCGCGAGGAACAAAACAACGAGAGAGAATGGATCCACAAAAAGCTTGGAAATTATACGAAAAATATTCGTCCCGAAAATTTGGTTGAGCCTAAAAAAATTAATCGAGATCAGCTGGTAAAATAATATTAAAAAAAAAATTATTTAAAAATGTTTATTGTGAATTTAGGGTAAGAAAAAGAAGGGAAGAGGACAAACCGGAAGAGTATTCCGACGATGACGTCAGCGACGAGGAAATCCAACGTCTTGAAACTGATGACGAAGACAATGAGGATGATATTAAAATCGAGGGTGATGATATTACGACGACAACGACCCTAAAAGACGACCAAGACGAAGATGGCGCTACAAAAGAACCCGTATCGAAGGAGATGAGGCCGCACAAGAACGGAACTGCTTTCGTAGAAGAAAGCAACGTTACTCTTAGCGGACTTAGCGCAGATTCAAAAGCAACCCGATTCTTTTTTCCTTTTTCGTCGTTCATTTTCTATCTTTTCTACTTTATAATTTTACCGTGCTCGTAAATAAATAGGTTCTTAATATCCTCCCTCTTAGTCTTTAAAGATGATAAAAAGACAAGAAGTACCGCGACAAAAGCAGCGATGCAAAGACGCTGCTTACTTCTGCTCGGGGGTGGCCTTAAGATAGCAATACCAGAGATTGGTTTCTGAGCCTGTGGGTTGAGTTCGGGGTATCGTCACGACAATATTTGCGGTACGCTCATTTCTGGAGAAGCTCGCGCGCGGTATGTTTACCCGATCCACCACCGATCGATGACAGACACGGCATTCGGCGGTCGTCCCTTTAGGCATAAACGAAAGTGGACAGAATCTCCCTTTGATGCTCCACTAGTTATCCTCAGACTTTTCAGACAAATCGTTTATGTGTTTGTCTACTGTACACATTTTAAAACAGTCATTAGAAATTATAAAACTTATAGTATGGTAAAACCTCGATATAACGGATTAATAACAACTAAAACTAGAACTAACACTAGTATTAGACCTAACACTTGACTTAGAACTAGAAATATTCGGTCGCCGTTTTAAGAGATGTGTGGCTAAACGCAAATGTTTCTAGTTCTAGGTCTAATGTTAGTTTTAGTAACAGTGCAAGTGTAAAACTAGAACTAACACTATACCTAGAACTAGATACATTCGGATTGATTCGTCTTTAGAGACGTGCGGTTAAACCCAAATGATTCTAGTTCTAGGTATAGCGTTAGTTCTACATAGTAACAGCGCTAGTGTAAAACTAGAACTAACACTAGACCTAGTTTTAATTGTTGTGTAGCGCTAAACCAAGAACTAGAATCATTTGGGTTTAGCCATCTTAAAAGACAATTAAGAATTTTATCCATGTTGCAAGTTGGGAATATATTAAAAATTATACCAAAAAGATATACTAGAAAAAACTTCTTTAGCTTGCTTTTATTTAAATATATATCGAGACTAGTTTCGAGGTTACACCCTCATCTTCAGTCGAAACTAGCAAAGACGAAAAAACGAAAAACACATTAAAATATTAAAATAAAACAGTTTAAAAAACTTACAGTCAAAATTTTCAAAGCGATTTATACATGAAAAGCGAAAAACTCAAACGAAAAAACATCTCGAAGAAAACATCTTTAGAAGGTATGAACACGTTAAAATTGAAAAATAAATAATCACAATAAAAACATTCACAATATAACTCAAAATGTAAAATAAACATACGACATCAAAATATATTAAAATTTTTTGTCAAAAACGAAAAACCAAAAGATGTCGACGGTGAGACGAGAACAAAGGAACTGGGAAAAAAGACTTGAGCGGGTTTTAAACCTGCATTGAACTACCCGGGCAAATAAACTTGTTATATAATTGTTTTATGATCTCTCAGAGACATAAATATAGGTTTATTATATAATTGAAGTTGATCATTTAATAATTCGCAGTTATTGTTATTTTTGTGTTTGTTAATTTCTAAAATTTCGAGCAGATCTAGGCTATAACCTTTTTCACATTTATGTAGAAGTTTAGTGTTATTATAGTCTGTCTTGTGGCCTGTTTCAATGTGATGTTTGAATACATTGGAATTATCTTTGGTTTTGTGTTCTCGTATACGAGTCTCCAATTTACGCCCTGTTTGCCCAATATAAACTGAGTTACAATTAGAACAACCAATAGAATATATGCCACATTCTTTGAAAATATCTTTGTTCTTCATATGGTAGTTGGATAAAAGTCGAAGAATCGTGTTATTATTCGAAAATGCCAAGGAAAGATTATATTTGGAAAAAATGTGTTTTGCCTGAAAGGTGACATTATTGAAAGGAATGGGCTTATATTTCAAATTATTTAGAGTTTTAACATAAAGTGGGTCTCTTTGTTGCTGTATTTTATGAAATAATCTATTAATAATATGTTTTGGGAATTTATTATTATATGCAAGCTCAAACACATAGTCAATTTCTTTTATCCTATTCTGTTCGGAGAGGGGATAGTTAAATATTCTATTTATTAAAAATCTAAAATTAGCAAGTTTTTGTGACATAGGATGTTCTGAATCATAGGGAATAGTTGTTGAGATGGTCGATGGTTTCCTATGAATGTTGTACTCAATTTTATATTTATCTGTTCTTGTTAAATTTAAGTCTAGAAAATTAAGTTGATCATTTTCTTCAATTTCTATAGTAAATTTAAGGTTCTTATTAACTTTATTCAAATAATTCAAAAAACTCATCAAATTTTCTCTGTTCCGTTCCCAAATGCAAAAAACGTCGTCGACATATCTCACCCATTTACTAATATTTTTCTTGTGAGGATTAAT